CAACCTATGTACAATCAACTTCACATTAACTATAGTCCTTTGAATTCTTGATGGACAGCTTATTTCAGATCGAACATCAACAAATTTTTCAAAATACTGAGCAGGCCAAGCACAGACCTCTGTCTATATCCAATACCAACCACAAGAAGCCTATGAGACTCGCCTGATGAAGGGAGAAATCATAATATCAATAACTAATAATCAAATATCCTTTTGAAACCTACACATGCATCTAAGAGGGAAGATATAATTTGAAAAATGTTAATCATGAAAAGTATGGAGATAAAATTGAAACATGTGAATTGATAAAATACCATTCCATTGACTCCAGATACCCAACCACTCTTTTATGGGAAAATAACTCCTTCAGTTTCCATCTTTCTGACCTGCCACTAAACCCAGCAAGCTTCGTTTAAAAAGTACATTAACTGTTTACACTACTATGATAAGATCTAAAATATTTACGAAGAATGACTACTTAGTTGACAACAAGAGTATGTCCGTTTAATATTTTAAAGGTGAATTTGTAATGCAAAGGCGCAATCATATTTCAAATAAGTAGGATTTTTCACAAACAAAAATCTAAATAATTTGAATTATGCCCCCTGAAAAGGAAGAGATCCAACTTCAAAAATGGATCCCGGGATGTTACAGTTATATGCAACTTTTCTCAAAACTTTCGAATTCTAGTTAGCTTGGTGATACAAGATAAGCTGAGAGTGAAGGGTCCTTAAAAATAACTCTTCAGGAATCTTTAACCATGTTTATGTTTCAAACAAGTCACCCCAGTATATACACTTGAGTAGAACATAAAGAGGCGAAGGATCTGAATGGATAAAGCAATACAAAAGATTGCAAAGAAGATGCAAACAAGCATCCAGTTTTCGTGAAATATGCAAGCATTGGTTTACTGGAAATGAAAGTAATACTGACAAGAAAGTGAACAAAGAGGGATGTTTGAAACTTTTAGAGACCATAGAGCACTAATTCAGTACAGATTGACCGTGGCATATTGAGCAGGTAGGCCTAAAAGAAATTGTTTTATACCTCAAAACAGGCTAATTAACTTGAATACAAAAGGCTCTATTTGAACACATTTTTCCTCTCTTGTTTGCTTCACATAGTCATTCATTCTACCCACAGGTCAGTGTTCACAACAGTCATGCAGCTCCCTGAAACTACTCTTTTGAGGGGCCAGGGAGGGAGATGGAATCAAAGCATCTTAACATGTATCCTAGGCTTGCCCAAGAATTTAAATTAATGGATGGAAAGGTATAGGAAAGAACTATCTTTCACAAATTTGCAGCATTCCTTAATACATTGAAATATTAAATTTATAAATCACAACCAGGCTGATAGTATTGGCATATGCTTCATGATCTTTACCCAAAGCAAAACCTTTTCTTTTTCACATTCATATAAGTTCTATAAACCAAACATATTAGCATTGCATTAACTGTGTCCATCTTGAAAAGGTGAAAAATGTATGGAAGTGAATGACATGATAAAAATGTTGATGATCTTGAATCTCTACCTTGATGGCTAGAGTTGAAACCGCAGTTAGTTAAATGCTCTGCAAGTCCACCTCCTAATTTATTATGCCAATTTGATTCCGTTTTTGCTCAGGTGCTGGCCAAACTGTTGCTATCTTTGCTGTTAGATTTACACTAGCCGATGATACTTGAGGCTGTACATTAATGTACAAAAGTATAGAACATAGCCTTAGATAGCTTAAGAAATAAGATTCACATGCTCGTGGATTTTAAGAAGATTAAGATGTATATCATTAGTTATCTATGCCACACATTTTGATCTTACCTCTTAGTCAAAGAAAGAGTGCTGAAAAGATACAAATATGAAAGCAAATTTTACCCTTTCACTCACCTTCTCTGCCTACACCCTAGGCTCATGGATTACGCAGATTTATAGTAAAGCTGAGAAACCTACACACGAATTTTGCCTTTTCTTTTTTCCCCTTGTGCTCATTGCTATAATTTATAACACAGTTAAATGTAACTAGAAAGTAGAAAGTCTCCCAAAGCCTAAGTTTCTCTGCCAAGTTGAATGGTTTATTTGTCTTGATTTTTTCCTGGGTGGAAGGTGAAACTAGCCTCCAAAACAAGAAGTAAAAAGCACTTGAAGAATTCAGCCTAGGGAGAGACCGAATGTCATTTAAACATTTCTCCAAGAAGGCCAAACCAACGCCATGGGAATTCCTAGTTTTCGATAGTTTGTAGAATTATCCGAGCATGAATTATTTACCCTGCTTGGTTTCACTTTTAGCCTTGTAAGCAAATTTTTATTAATTTCTGATGTTTTATTATTTTTTAAACCAATAAAAGATTTATTTTTCATTTCCAAAGTCACATTTTTAATTTCATTTTTACATCCATTGTGTGTACCAAACGTATTCTTAGATCACCATCAATATAACCTTACTGATTATACCTTGAATTAGCTCAACCAATGATTCCACCACAATTCAATTCCAAATTCATTTTTTTTATGAAAAATAAATAAATAAAAACATTGTAAGTAAAACCAGAAGAATTCTGGAAATTGAGAAAAATGTGTGCTGCTGCTTTGAAATCCGTAAGCATGACTTTTTTCACCTCTAGTCTAAATTACCTTTTAGAAATAAGTAAAGCAGAAGACTAGAATGGCAATTGCTCATGAAATTACATTGCCACTAGTGTAAACTTGAAAGAATACCTTCCTCAAGATTAAAGTTAATGTGCCACAACAAGGGCTCCAATCATCTCTCAAATTAAAGGCCAATGAACTTACCCGACTCTCGAGAAGTTTCTTCACACTATCGGCACATCCCTCGCACATCATGCCCTAGATCACACAGACACAGCAAAATGTAAGAAACAAAAAACAAAAAATAAAAATAAATCTTCCAAGAACAACATGCAGCTTATACCTCAACATTGAGAACAACAACTTCAGGTGAGAGAGCCGAAAGCTCACCAGGCGTATGGGAATTATCATCTACAGAAGCAGAGGAGGCGAAAACGCCTCGGAAACGACAGCGTTTTGGATGGGTCAGAGTAAACAAGCTCCTCGGCGAGGAGGCGGAGAGAAGCAACAAGAGAGGATGAGGTGATACGAATGGCGAAGTTAGGAGGAAAGCATCTGAGTTGTGTGGCTGCGAGATGGTTCAGAGTTGAAACTGAAAGCGCCATTCGTGTAATTGGAGGTAGTATAGCCCTCTTTTCTCGCTAGCTCTGAACAGCCAGTCAGCCATACCCAATATTCCGTCATTTTTTTAGGGTTTAAATGTTAAAAAATATAAAATATTTTTAATTTTTTAAAATATAATTATTATATATTTTTTAATATGGATAGTAATTTTATATTTATTATAGAGTATTTAATAAAAATAAATATGAAAAAATAAGATTAATTTAAAAGTAAGTAACTATTTTATTAAGAGGTAAGATTCAGTTAAAAATATTTTATATTTTTAAATAAAAAAATATAAATTATAAATATTAATATATTTATTTTTATAAAAATTTTATAAAATTAAAGTCAATAAAAGTTACAGCCCATACAAGAAAGGTAAGGTAAAGAAATGAGAAAAAAAGAAATCTAATATTGACTACTTAATTCGTTCACCAAAATATAATGAAGAATAACACTTTTTAGTTTTTTTCCCCGATGAAATTATGATTAACAAGAAATTCCATCTTTTCAACTTCAATCCTTCTATGACAGATTGGTTGCCGATATCTATCACCAATTGCAGATGCCGCCACATGCCGGTAATATTCACTTGAAAAAAGGCAGAGGATTTTGTAATATAAAATGGTTGCACCTCTTCTTCTCCAAAGTAAAGTGCTGTTGCATTGAAAGTAAAGTTCCTTTTCTAGAATTTTACAATTTTGAAAGTCTAATTAGATGAACCATTTCCAGAATCTGTTAAATGGATGCAATACAGTTTTTTTTTTTTTTTTTCAGATTGGTATTTGAATTATACACGGTTAGCTTTTATAGTTTATATAGGAAATAATTATAAAAGGTGTAATTATATATAGTTATAAATTTTTTAAAAACTTAACTGATAAAAATTAAATTGATAATTGAGAATGACCAAAATTTATCATCCCAAATCTAACTACATAAAAGTGTTCTGTCTTGCCTTCTAATTCACATATGATTTACTTCAAGGGTGCTTTTGTGAGGATTATTATTATTATTATTATTATTATTATTATTATATTCTATAAGTTGGTTCATGAAAATTTTAGGAAAAATCATGTATAGATCCCATAAAGCAAAGATAAGTCCTATAAAATTCAGAAATCACAACTAAATCTCTTGAGACTTAAGTATAATTTGAAATTAAAGTGCAAATATAATAATACCCCTATTAAAATTATATTACATCAATCAAATAATTTATAACTATTTCATCAATAATTTATAACTGTAACTTTACATATTTAATAGTTATACATTACAAGTTTGATACTAATTATATAAACTATCCCATTAATAATTTACAACTATTACTTCAATATTTTATAACAATAACTTCACATATTTAATAGTTAAACCAATCATGTATTACCAATAAAGTTTAACACTAATTGTTTATAATTATCATATCAATAATTTACAACTGTAACCTTAATATTTTTAATAGGGACAATATTGTCTTCATACCTCAAATTTAAATTATACTCTAATTTCAAGGGAATTGACCATGGTTTCTAAATTTCACAAGATTTATTTGTAAATAAATATGTCACATGAGACCTATACATAATTTTTCCAAAATTTTACTCTATAACTTTTGCATAGCAATTTTAAAACTTAAGCTTATCAAGGCTATTATCGCTGTACACTTCTTTACAAATAAATATATTGAAAAAATTTGCCTTACTGATTAATCAAGTGCCACATTTGCCGTCCATCTAGTAAAAAGATTAGCACAAACATAACATAATAGATGCAACTTTAATTTGAAAAATGAATTATGGTAATGCATATAAAATAATTTAAATCTTAAATAAAAAAGGCATCAAATAATGAAAGTAGGAGAAAACAATTTTTTAACGTGGAAAACTCCCTCCATGTGAGAGATAAAAACCACGGGACCCAGTCCAGATAAAATTCACTATCATGAAATCAATATTACAACAATGAGTCTTCAACCATTATTAACCACACACCCTGCTTACTTTTTTCCGACTCTTTTTTTCATCATAACACTCAAGCACTACCCACTAGCAACACAGTAAAAATCACTCACAAATGTAAGAACTAATAACAACCCAACCAATAAACATGACTACACTCTAGATTTTTTTCAAGGAATGTTGTTTTTAGGAAATTTAAACAGCAATCTCCAACAGTCAAACTTTTTGCTGAAGATGAACTCCTAGCAGGAGTGCGTTTTTCTTCAAGTTGGATAAGCAGGAAGACCACTTAACATGTATATTTTGAAGTTCCTGCTTTGCTTTCATATGGTCTTCTACCATGTGAGACCTCTCTTTCTTCACTTCCTCAAACTCCTTTATGAACCCTATTGTGTTAGAAACACTCTTTTTCTTTTGTTCTTTAAGAGATGATAGGTTGATCTCACACTCTTCTATTTCCTTTAATTTGCTATACAATTCATCTTGCAATTTAGAGATTTTCTCCTTTAGTTCTTCTTCCTTTAGATGAGCCTCGGCAAGAAAACTCTCAGTACTGTGAATTTCAGATAGAAGAGCAATGGCTACTTCCTTTCTTTGTGATCTTTCTTCATTGATAAGTTTCTCTTTTTGTTCAAGCTTGTTGAATGTGACAATGGTAGCATGGCCTTGGTTGAAGGAAGATAGAACAGTTTGGATTTCTTGTTGCAGAGAGTGAATTGTAGCTTGAAGGCCATGAGAGGGAGGTCCGTCTTCAGAACAATGGGAGGACAAGATGCTGAGAGCATTCTGAAGGCGAAGTCTGCTTTCTTCAGAGCTAGCAATTTCATTAAGACTCATCTTCAACGTGGCTTCCAAGTCAAAGAGAGCTTTAGTCGCCTCACCAGCCTCTTCAGGGACAGAAATTTTAGACACATGACGCATGTGACCTTCCTCCATTATTTGGAATAATCTCATCAGATCATCTTCTGCAAATTGCTGAGAGCTGCCTTGGTCCAACATGATTTCTTCCTCAGTGGAGGTCTCTGGTTGATTCATGATTTTCCCCTGTTGAAGTGTATCAAATGAAACAACCATTAAGGTAATCAAATTCCTTTTTCCTCACGTGTATGTCTAGGCAACAGAAGCAGAGTTATTCATTGTTGATTGTCATAACATTTATCATCATTTGTAATAAAAATTGTTTCCAAAAAATTGCTTCCTTAATTCAGATGCAAATTGAAAAGAATTGTTCATACAAGTTGGTTTATTTAGGTATTAAATTGAAAAAAAGTAAATATATGGTGAATTTAAAATATGCACCAGTTGCTTTATAAAAGAAAAGTACTAATGATTATCAAATTTTCTATTCTAGAATTAGTATGGACCAGTTTCAAAGAAAAAACTTACATCCCACAACTAATGCACTAAAGTAAAGGCTTACTTGTGCAGATTCAATAATAGCAGAAATGTGGAATAGATCTGATTTTGAGCCCACTAAGTCCACTTGAATAGCTGAAGTTGCTATTTGAGGTTTCATGGGAGAAGAAGTTGATGTTTCTTTGGAAGAACATTGATTGATAGGTTCTTCAACTCTTTGAGGAGCATCATTGGAGCTTCTACTTTCTCCAGGTTCTTGTTGACCAGCCTTTGATTCCTTTCCACATAACTCCTAAGCAAAGGTATGAATAAACAAAAAGACATCTATTTAAAACTAAAATGAATGCAGCAAGCTTACCTTAGTGGGAGTTAATGTGTAATCTACTAATCTTAACACACAAAATATAAAATTCTTGATTTACTTGGAGCAAATGGATATGTAGGACAATAAGGTAGGAGAGAAATCATTAGTTTCTTTTTTGGTTTTGCTTGGTTATAGATGACTATAATATGTGTACATTGTCCAAATCTGGTGAGGCATTGTTCTGTTTTTGGCATTGTCAAGTCTTTTTCAATAGTCTCTCATGATACTTCTTTTTCAAGGTTAACAATGATAAAATATATAAAGAAGAAAGAGTCATTCAACCAAAATGAATGAAAGATTTGAGGTTATTAATAAAGATATTAATCTTATAATGGATATAAAATCCTCTTTCAACTAGTTCTTGCTAATCAATGATGATTGTTTCATCCTGAGCCTTTTTCCTGGCAAGCATATCCTTAATGAACAGGAATATTCAACAAGCTATCTAAATCTTAGTTATTTAATTTATATAAAAAGGTGGTAATCTTACTTGTGGAGATTCACTTTGTAAAGGACTAGAAAAGGGTGAGGATATGCTGCTTAGTTTTGAATCCATCAGTTCATCTGCCAACACAGCCTCGTCTGATTTTTTACCTTTTAGAACACTTGCCTTCTTTAGTGTTTCCATAATCTGTGGAATTATAATAAACCACAAAATAAGAAATAACTAGTTGACAGTTATCATCAGCTCTAATTCCCAAGGGAGCATCATAAATTCTTATAAAAAGAATATAATCATTACTATTAAGCCATTTTCACTCCCGCGTTGCTACATAATTGAAAAATGCTCAATGAACATACAGCTAAAGTGTTTGTTGAGGAAGGATCCTCATATTATCTAAATCAAATGAAGGAATTATCTCTGCTGTATAAGAAATAAAAAATTGCCCTTCAACATTTCATTTGTCGCTGTATAAACTATGAATGTGTTGCTAAAGAATTTGAAAACCCTCCTTAGATGCCTCTTCACTCTAAACAATTGCGAAAGATATAACAAGAGAGATAAAATTTGAAGTCAATAATAAAATTTATAAATCTTGGTCCACAATTAACAAACTCAACCCCCATATGAGCATTTTTTTTCTTGGCCAAAAAGCATCCCTATATATGCATGAATATTCAAAAGATCACTGCATCAATTTGTATATGAAAAAGGTGATAACCTTACTTGTGCATATTCTTGTAAAGGACTAGCAAATGGTGCTGGCATGATTCTGAGTTCTGAATCCTTGACTTCATTTGATATTACAGCTTGCTTTGATTTTGGACTTCCATGAACACTTGCCTCTACTTTCTCCTTGTTCTATGACACAAGGAACCACCAAGAAATATAATAGTTTGACATTAGCTTCAACTTTGTAAAAGTTAATGTGCATGGATTTTAAGTTGTTAGTGCATAATGAGTTGATGAACTCACTTTGTCATGTGTCTCAGATGAAAGACCTTCTCCCACAGTTGCTTTAGCATTCTGCATAATACCAACTGACATGTAAGTATATTTCCAAGTCACCGAAGCATTCTTTTATCATTTCTTCAATCTTATGTAAGTATATATAAAATGGTCTCACTTTAGCCATCATTGTATGACTATTTTGTTCAATCGAAGCCTCCTCATTGATAGCTCCATCTAATTTTGAACCTTCTTGAGCAGTTAGCTCTATTGTTTCCTCAGAAATCTGTTGCATAGCACAAAGTAGTGAATCAGTTTAATATACAGCTAAAACTTGTAATGTATAACCAAGTGGCGCATTAGAAGCTCCTAGAAGCTCCTAGAATTAGATGTTATATCAAAAACAAGAACTTGTTCGACAAGTTCATTTTCTGTTGCTTAGGTACTTTTGACATGTTCTTGTACAGAATGCCATTCGTTGAGAAATGACTCTTACGACATCTAAATTAGATGATGGAGGTGCCCCCGTAAGTGAACTAGAAAGTTGTCCTTCATCAATTTCATTTGTTGATGCTTTTTCATCCTGCGCAGCCCATAAAATATGTTTAAGTTACTAAAGAACTTAAATTAATCATGAAGAAAACCATTTATTGATTAAGAGAGAAACTATTTATATTACAGAAAAGCATAATGTACATACCCCTGCCATGTTTGGCAAATTACTGCTCCTCTTGTGCGTGGTGGAGTCTTTTTCAGCAATCTCCTTTGAAGATTCTTCACTCTAAACAACAATAAAAGATGTAAAAAGAATATAAAATAAGCCTTGAAGTTATTAATAATCATAATAAATCTAAGCACACAAGTACAAGGCAGCATGAGAAAAATCATTTGTTAGTATCTTAAGTTTACTTGCTTATGGAAAAGTATAATATACATACATTTCCCAAATTTCTTGAGTCATTTTCAACAACTTCTTTTGATCCTCCTTCTTCAATCTGAACAATAATGGAAAGATATAACAGCAAGAGTTGAAGTCATCAATAAAGAAAGTGATCATAATGGAACGTGAATAGAATCCTCTTTCAACTAATGCTTCATCATCAATCTTGATTATTCCATTCCTAGCTTTTCTGCCAGCAAATGTATCCTTCGCCAACATGAATATTTAAAAGGCCACAAAATTTTAAGTAATTTTTTTTCAGATAAAAAGGAGGCAATCTTCTTTGAACGTGGACATTCAATTTGTAAAGGACTAGAAAATGGTGGTGGTTTGTTGCTTAGCTTTAAATTCTCAACTTCACTTTCCAATACAATTTCCTCTGATTTTGGACTTTTTAAAAGACTTACCTCCTCTATTTCCTCAAACACAGGGATAGTTTACTGTCAGCATCAAAATTCACCCCAAATGATGCATTAGAGGTTCCACTTCCACATTGCAACAGAATTTAAAAAAGCTTAATGAAAGTACGATTGAAAGTGTTTGTTGACGAATGACTCTCACAATAACTTAACTAGAAATAGAAAATTGCTGTCCCATTCCATATTTTCATTTTCTTCTATTTGTGGTTTATTAAGAGAGAAACAGTGTGTCGGGATATGAGATTGTTTTCTAATAGTGAAACATAATGTTTGTACCTCCGTCAACTTTGGCGAACTACTGTTTTTCTTGTATATTGCTGAGTCTTTCTCAAGAACAATCCCCCGGGATGCCTGTTTGCTCTGCACAATTACCAAACATATTCGAAGAGATAAAATGAGTTAAGGTCACTTATAAATTTCAATAATCTTAGCACAAAGAATGTAAAGGAAAAAATTACGCTCTGCATTTATTAAATTATATAGAGTGGTATAATTTATATACATTTGCTGGATTTGGAGAACTTTTATTCCGTATCGGTATTGTGCTGAAGGCATTCAAAACAGATTCCTGTGAACAAAGATATAGAGAAAATGATGAGTAGGAGTCAATAATGAAGATAATAATCTTGGCTCACTCAATGGGAAAAGTTGTGGATCTACTGATTTTATGCCTAAATTAGTAGCAGGAAAATTTTATGCATGTACATCGACCAATTTGATATGTTTTAGTGATGTTTGGGAGTGAAAATTGTCATTGGTTATTTTGATTTTTCTCTCCCATTTGATCTAACTATTTTATTTAGTTCGGTACTCACCTCGAAAGCCCAACGGTAAATAATACGACGTGCATAGTGGTAGTCATCCAAGTACAACCAATCACGACGTAATAATCTACGAAGACCAAATGCTGCAATACAAAAAACAAATGTCATTATTATGTGATCAAATCATAACAAATGGTAACTCTGTGTATGCTTGCGAATACTTACATTCATCGAAGCAGGCAAAAGATGGAATTGAAGAGACGATATTGGGACATTGCTTCACAATACGGACTTTCAGGGTTTGGAAATCAAAACCGTGATAGATAGTATGAAGTATTGGAAGATTTTTGAGTCTTATTACAATCAGTTTTGGAAGCACATTCTTCATGGTCGACTCTGATTGGGATGCATCAGCTTGTTGCTGGCATTCAAACAATTGCCCAATCTGAGGGCAATCTTGTACATCCAAAACCTGTAGTTTTGGAAGCTTATAAGATGTGGAGATAGAGAATAGGGATTTCAAGTGACCACATAGATGGACACGAACACGATGTAGGTTGGGAAACAGAGAGCTGATAGTCATAGTCGTATTATCATGACCACAATGCCCCTCTTCATTTACTATCTGCTCCAGTGCATCACACTCCCCGACTACCAACTCTTTCAACAATTTCATGGATGAGGCAGTGGATAGGGTAAACAATGATGTTAACTCAGAAAATCCAATTATCGTAACCTCTCTTAAATTGCATTCATATAGTGGCGGTGCAAAATATCCTTGAGCTACATTAAGACCAGACTTGGCCTTCAATGTCTGCAAGTACAAAAAGTGACGTGCAAGTCTCATAAATGTGATATTGAGAAACTAGAAAAATAAGTTGGAGAGAGGCTTACCTTTCTCCTTGAGAGATCTTCTTGTCGCGTTGGCACATCAACCGGGAAACCCATATCAGTTTGTATGGGTAGTTTCGGACTTGCGAAACTAATATCTTGGAGATGCAGTGCCTTCACTAATAGTTTTCAGTGCAAATACTAAACATATTGGTGTCAGGTACATAGGTATTTCAGAGCTGGGAGATTTCATCTTTTCACAATAAGAGATGTTTACATATTCCAAATGATGAAAGTCTTTTGAGTAAAAAGCTGAGAATATATATTCCAAATGGCTACAGCTATAGACAGTAACCCTCTTTAAGTTGGGAAATATGGAGTCGACATTCATATGATCATGACTATAATGCCCCTCATCTGCTACTACATGCTCCAGTGCATCGCACTTCTTGACATCCAGTTCTTCCAACAATTTTAGGGATGATGAGGCAATGGAGAGGGTAAAGAGTGACTTCAACTCAGAAAATCCCTCTATTCCCATCTTTCTCAAACTTTTGTATGGATATAAAGGTGCTGTAAAAATTCCATTAGCTCTCTCCACAACATATTTTAATAATTCCTGTATTACATTCAAACATATGTCAGCCCATAAATTTTTATTTTTTTATTTTTTTAACAATTTAATAATTTGCATTACAATTTTTTATCTTCTCATTTGATGTTTTTTCAATTATATTCTAAGTAACAAACTGCTAGTTTTAGAGGTAATTCTATTTTAGGCGCTTATATTAATTACATCTCTTCTTGTGAGAATTCATGCTTGATTTCATGTTGAAAGATACTAGTTTCTTTTACTAAGATATAAACGATATATAAATTTTGGTTTTAAATATAAAAGAAATTTAAGTTCAAGAATTCTTTTTTCCAAGATGCATGTTCTATTCTTTTCAATTTGAACAAAGATAGATGCCAAAATTACTTTAAAATATGCCACTATCTAATGCGCTAAATTGTAAATTATTAAGAACAAATTTCAGTAATCCAAAAAATTCTTTAAAAATTGTGAAATAATGAGCAACAATTCGCGAAGATGGGCTGGTTCCACAACTCCGCTGCTTGCATCATCATCATATAAGTTAAAAAAAAAAACGAACATCCAGCTCAGACAGATATATATATATATATATATATAGCATGTCACCAGATAAATAGTTTCTTTATATATATATATATATATATAAAACTCATAAATATATAAACATGTCCATAAAAAATCCACATCTATAAACAATTTTATAATATATTAAAATATTTTTATCTTAAAATGTAAAATATAGTTTATAAATTATGTTAACTGAAATTTATAAATTCCAAAATCAAAATTTATATGCATTAACAAATATAAATTACATTTATTTTATTATGGTACACAACATTCATCTCTCCTCTATTTATTTTAATTAAGATATCTCCCTGCTATCTTTAACCTATACAAACCTCTTTATAATCAAAAGTTACAAAGCACAGACCTCCTTTCTATTTTTAAATTTTTTTTTCATTCATTTAATTACTAACTGATTGTTAAATCAAATATGTTTGCTCAAATATCTCTCAAATATAAATATTATCTAAAATCATTCAAGTTACCAGAAAAAATTTATTATTTTTTTACCATTTATGCATATTTTAAATTTTTATTTATGCAAACTTATTAATTTATTTTAAAAAATTAAATAATAAATTTGCTAAAATATATTTCAAACACATATGTTAAAAAAATAATGACATAAAAATTTAATATAAACATAGATAAATTATTCAATATTATTTATGTTTATTTTTTTAAAATTTTTATCATATTAATACAGTATTTCAAAAACATTTCTTTAAATATCTCTATACTTAATTCTTTAAATTTTTTAAATTGGGGAGTAAGAATAGACAATTAGATTATAAGGAAAATGATAATTTTAATTTTTTTCACCATAGTTATAAATAAAATATTAAATATTTTATAATTTTTAATGAAATATTTTCAGTGATGCTAAAAATTGGACTAAATTTAGGTTTAGAAAATAGGGGAGAGTCTCTTTAATTTTTAAAAAGCATATTTGGGCAACTTTTTGCAATTTGCTACGTGTGTCAAGTGTCCTAAATGAAAGAAAATACGTAAATTAATACTTTTACACTTAAGACTGATTATTTCTGTTATTATCTGAGTATAAGATGTTCAACAAAGCAAATTATATAAATGAAGACTTGAAAAAAGAAATAAAGAATGAGATAGTTAATTTACAAGCATATAATTTTATATAGCGTGGCTTATAATAGTTTGAAAATTATTACTAATCTTCCATTCCATGTATTGTCATATAATTTGTCATTTTGGACTGTATCAATTCCTAATGCAAAGAATCGCACCAAGAAGAGAAAAAGTGATGGAGATTTTACTCCCAAAAAAAAAAAATTGATAAAGAAGAGTACCTGAGTGTGGTTGAGATAAGTGCCATTGGAAGCGGAAGGATGATGTACGGTTGAGGCATTTGATTTTGGCCAAAAACAACAAAGAGGACATCTTGACAAATTGTTGCTCTCGTCTTCCAATTTTTGCACTTCACTACAGGGCAATGGCAGATAACATTCTGCATATATGTTTATGAAATTTGGTACTTCATGAATTTCCAATTGTTCTCTAGCAACTGGAGCACAATTTCTTTTCCCATTTGATGCAATTCTCTCTTATTTGAATACGGCCCAAATATATATTTTAGCTTCTGACATCTAATAATTTTCACACTTTCAAGTAGTGCAAGGTCTTCACAAAAACAAATTGGCAATATAAATTCTAATTCTCCACAGCGACGAACTTGGGGTGATTTCAATTTTTGGAGCATTGCCCTATGGCTCTTTTGATTAGGATCATCATCATAATCCATCATCTCTGCTACAATGTAGTTCAACTGAGAACATTCAATTATCTCCAATGTCTCTAGTTGATTAAGACTCTGAGCTGTGGATGGATGAAAAAGACATGTCATTGAACACTCCTCTAATTTTACCGACTTAAGATTGCCCAGCTCTAGCTTGCCCTCAAATAATGTTCTTTTTAGTTTTTGACATCTCACTAACTTTAGATTCTCTAATTGCCTCAAAAAGTCAACAGGATAAGGGCCATAGCATAATTCTCTTACACCCATTTCATGAAGTTGCAACTCAACTAATTTGGAGAAGATAACACCACTAGATTGAAGATGATCTGTATAGACGACACAATTTATCTCAAAACAAGATTCCAAAGAAAGCTTAGTTAAGTGATCTTTCAAGCCTTTTTCTTCCATAGGAACAATGTCAGGAACAATACTTGTCCAACCTCTATTATAATCAACTTTATATAATTCCAAAATTTCTGCTCCTCCTATTAGGGAGGTAAATATTTCCTTGGAGAAGATTTTTTCTAAGTTCTTTGAATTGAAATATTTAGATGTTGAAAAATTCACTTTACAATGACCATCATGAGAACCCATTATATGATACCTTCGTAATTTAGGAAAAGTTGTGATTTGGGGAAATTTTTCATGGTCAAGTTGACCAATAGCATTGCCAACATAGTACAACTCCTCTAATTGCGAGCAACTTCCAATAACTTCAAAAGGATTATTCCTTTTAATTGAACATTTTCTCAACTCCAACAATCTCAATTTTTCCAACTCTCTAATTTTACTTGGCAATTCAATAATTGAACACTCAATCAACTCAAGACTAGTGAGGCTTTTCAAGCTTGCCAAAATAGATATATCTTCCAATTCAAATGATTTTATGGCTAGAGTTTGAACATTTTTTAATGCCTCAAGTGGTTGAAGCAAAGATGGAGTTGAAATTTGCAATTTTGACCCTGCCAAACATTCTAAAATCAAAATTTTAAGGTCTCCACTCCCTTCAAAGAAAGCATCTGGAACTTTCACTTCATTACTTTCATTTATCCAAACTAAAAGAGCCTCAAGTTTACTACTGCCTAAATGGTTGGGAAAGTCACTTGTTTTCCAAGAAGAATATTGGATATTCTCCTTCAAAGTTGTGATAGAATCCATGCCCACTTGAACTTTCTTGTTTTCGATCCATAGAGCCACTTCTCTGACCAAGTCATGCATCTTTACAGTTTCATTCCCAGCTTTTAACAATAAACAAGAATCTATGAGCTCATTTTTAATTGGAGTAAATTGACTTCTTGAAGCAGAGTATCTGTCAGCATCTCCACAAAGTCCCAAACCTATAGCAATTCTATTCAAAAGTTCTATAGGTATTTCAGAATCTTCAGGGAAGAGAGAGCACAACAAGAAGAGTTGTCTGGCATTTTCATTCTTTATATTATCATAACTTAATCTCAAAGAATTATAAGCCTCCTTTAAATCTTGATTAACATCTTGCAATGGCTCATAAGCTCTCATTCTCTCTAAAGCATCTTTCCAATCATTCAGAGGCCTAGAATTCAATGCTCTTGCCACTGTTATAATTGCAATCGGTAATCTTCCACACTCCTTCACAATACCTGAAGCCACATCCTTAAAATCATTGGAAGAACTACTAGTGTTAATGCCAACATAAGATAGGAAAAGATCAATTGCATCCTTCTCATTTAAGACCTCAAGTTTAATAGTTTCATGATAGCATCCCATATCTCTACAAACTGTCCAATCACGTGTAGTTAGCAAAACAACACAACAACCCTTGTCATGATGACCAGGAGGAATCCCTATGTCTCAAAGTGTAAGTTTTTCCCAAACATCATCCAATATTACAAGCAAGTTTTCTCCACCTTCAACTATCCTTTTCCATATATTTTGTGCTTTTTCAGCTTCACCCATCGTTTCATCTAATAACGACAAGCCTAATTGCTTTGCAATGTTGTCTCGAATCTTTTTCAAGTTTGGATCCTTTGAAACTACACTGAAGATGGCTTTATCAAACACTTTTGATTCTACAACTTCTTTACCAACTTCTATTGCCATTGTAGTTTTCCCCGTTCCTCCTAGCCCATGCAGTCCAATTATAAACTTCTTGTCATCTTTTAGTATGCATGCCTCCTTAAGTTGTTCAAATTTCAACTTTCTATCCTCCAAATGCATAAAGTTTTGAGAAGAATAAAACTCGATGCCTGGAAGCCCAATTGAACGAGCAACACGAGGGAAGTTACTCTTCTCGATCAATTCTTTAATCGTTTGGGTCTTCCCTTCCAACTCTTTGCCTCGCTTGTACTGCCAAAAGCAATTAGTAACCAAGCTAAACCATTTCTTCTTTTCTTTTGTGTTTTCTTGTATGAGACCATTGGCTTTAGTTAGCCACAGTGCAACATCATCCTCAGTTTGATTCTCATTTCTGCATCTAGCTTCATTAATATCTTTAACCACCATGTTTATTCTTGTGTTCAAACTTTCCTTTTTGTCTTCGAACTCATCAACATAGCTCTTGTAACAACACAAGTATTTAAGCTCATTTGCTGCTGTGTCCACAAATGATTGGGCGGCATGGGTTGCGATTTCCTCTATAATTGGCATCTAGCATGCACATATATATATATATATATATGCGATATAATTAGGGACTATATATATTGACTACATTACTATGTTTCAGTTACACCTACCATGCATGTTCTAGGATTTTTCAATGGCATGCATACAAGAAAATTTTTGTCATTGATTAGTAATGTGTCAAAACATGGATGCAGATGTTTGAAAATTCCCCCTCTAAATTGAGGGACAACTTTTTGTCCAAAACAATTGATTTTCTGTTAGGCTAACAAGGATAAAATAACCTGTTCTTTGAGTGATTTTGCTTTGCCTTTATTTTTCTCTAATAATTAAAGATAATTATGTGTTTTATATAATTCAATAAAATCACTTTCAAAAGCAGTGGGATGACTCATACAAAAAGAAAGGACCAATTATGTTATTATGAAAGTAAAAGTTTTGCATGCATCTATATATAAGCAACTTGTATATAATTAAAAAAAAAACATAACTTTTAGTCTTTACATTTTGCACGTGATTTGTTATTAGTCCTTACACTTTATTTTTGATGTTCTTAGTCCCTATAGGTTTCTCCATCTGTACTTTAGGTACCTACACTTTCAGAGGGGTGCTGACGTGGCATTAACGGCATTAATTATGTTGATATGGACAATAAGAGTGTTAATTATATGGTGATGTGTTAATTAATGGCTAGTGTGTATTTTTTTCTTGGGAAAAAAAAAAGCTATGTGTACTCCCTCTGGTCTTTATTATAAGACACTTTCAACCGTTTCACGCATTTTAAGAAAAGTTAGTTATAGTTATTTTCCTAATATCATAAAAAAATAATTTATACTTTTATTTTTACCCTTAGCTTTAAATAGTGATAGAATTATATTAAATACCTTCACATTAATCAAGAAAGGGTAAAATTAAAACAAGTAGTTTAATTATTATAATGTGTCTTATATTTTGGACTAAAAATTTCTTCAAAAATATATCCTATAAATAGGACCCAAGGGAGTATTTTTTTTTAATAATCAAAGAGTAAAAAATATGTCTTAACTTCAAACCTGAATAATATATTTTATATATATTAAAAAATAATAAACCATCTCGGACCTAACTTTAAACCTGGCTTTGAACTGGAGCCAGTAATTTGAGTCAAGCCGTATGGGCTAGTTTGAACCCGTCTAAACAAATTTAGGGCCGGGCTTAGAAATTTCTTTTTAATGTTCAAGCCTAACCCAAATACCTGAATATGAAAATTTTATTTTTTAAAAATATATATAATATAATAAATATTAATTGATTCTTTAAGTTTTAGATTATTTTATACTAAAACACCATATATTTGAGTCCTAGATATCGTTTAAGTATCAAAAAAATATATTTTATATTTTTTAATATAAAATAATTAATTTTAAAGTAAAAAATTAATTAAAATAATTTTAAAAATAAAATTCGGGTATTTAGGCCACTCGAAACCCGAAAAAATTCAAGCCGGACTTGATTATTCAGGCTTTTTAGAGAGTCAGGCCTGTTCGGGTCAGGCTTATTCGGGCTTAGCTCGAATAGGCCAGGCTCGCATGAATTCCCAACTCTATTTGAAACACATAATTACAGGAAAGGCACCATGAAATTATGAATTGTAACAAATTTAAAAATGGACACATAACATTTTCTCGTAGCTTTAAACCCTAATTTTATATATATATATATATAATTATTAAAAAAAATACACATAAGCTTTTCTTTCTTTTTTTCTCAAAAAAATGCTAATCAGCCGATAACGGACATGTCGCCATATAATTAATGGTGTTATTATTCACATCAACATAATTAACACCGTTAATGCTATGTCAGCACCCCTCTAAAAGTGTAGGGACCTAAAGTACAGACAGAAAAAATTGTAGGAATTTAAAACACTGAAAATAAAGTATAGGAGCTTGTATAAAGTGTAAGGACTAAAAATTATATTTTTCCTATAATTAATTATGATTCAAGATCAATTGTAGAAGCACCATAAGATAATAGCCCAGACTTTATTGCATCTTCACATCAAATAATATATCCAATTAATTAATTTAGAAGTTGAAGGATAATTTTATCCTCAAAATATAGGTCAAAAAAGTATGATGAAATCCTAAATTTATTTTTAGTGCAGTATTTTTTTTTTTTTAACTTTAAAAAATAATGCAATGTTATCCTTATTGTTAATAAAAATTAATTTTGATTGTTAGTACACAAAAAAATTATGAAAAAATCTCAAAAATTTAAAAAAAATAATTAAAAATTACAAAAAAATCCAAAAATTATTAAAAAAAGGACCAAGAAAAATTTTCTTAATCAAGTAACCATAAAAGTTAACATTTGTTAACTGTAAATGCAATATTGTATTGTTTTAAAAAGTTAAAAAGAAATATTATATCAAAAACAAATTTAGAATCACATATACTTGTAGATCTATAATTTAAGGCAAACTAAGCATTTAACTCTTAATTAAGCGTCAAGGAAGTGGAGACATATTTAGTTCCGAATAGAGTAATATATTATTATTCACAAAACCCAAAGCCACTAAAACAAATTAAAGTGAGGGTGCATTCTTAGCTTATTTACACTACTGAAGAATGCACGAATGCCATGCATACCTCTGATTCTGAGTTTAACGCCTTTCGAGAACTTGTTGGATAGGAATTGGTCGTCGTCTTCTTCTTCAACGCACGTAAAGAAGATGAAACAGCACGCGACGATTGATGGAGAAAAAGAAATCGATATGAAATATTCAAGGGAGAAACTATAAGAGAATTGAGATCCAAGGAACGAAACAACGAACTGTTAAACGGAGACTCAAAAGTAATGATTTGAGAGGTAAACCTGGACAAGGATTTTTTTTTTTTTTTTGGTTTCAAAGAGCGAGAAGAAGAGCAAAAAGTCAAACCAAGAACACAAAGTAGAGAACACAATTTTTTTTTGTTTTTTTTTTCGAAAGAAAAAGACCAATAGCAGCAATGACAGATACCAATATAAGATCAAACAAACAGTTTTTTTTTTTTTTTGGTTTTTTTTCCCCTTAAAAGAACAAGCTATGGCAAGAGAAAGATGAAGAGCAAAAACTGTAGTGACTGAAGAGAAAAGATTAAAGGACTGAAAAACGAAGAAACAGAGTGAACAAACTGTTAAACAGAAGCCAGAGAGCACAGAAAAAGATTTGTGTGATTGACGAGAAAAAATGAAAGCGAGAGAATTATTCAAGAAGTCAGAGAGCACAGAAGATTGCTGATCTGCAGAGAGAAAGCATAAACCAGTGTGGTGAACAGAGATGAGTTGGTATTATTGGCTTAAATAGTTAATAACAATTAAAAACAATTTTATTCCAAGTCTCTTGTTTTCTACTGCCAACCGTGGCTTTAATTTCAATTTTCAAGTCTTTGTTTATTTGCAGTCTTTGTTTATTCCCATGTGATGCTTTGCTCTCCCATAGTAATTTTGTATTCCAAAACTTATACTCCCTCATAGCCACAATATAAAACAACTTCTAAAAATCTTGTTTAATTAAAAATATATAATATTAAATAATTTTTATATTTACTTTTTAACTATATCTCTACTTCACTTATTGCTTTTCTTCTAAAAAATCATACATTAAAATTTTAATTATTATTATTATTAATATTAAGACATATAAGGTATTGAATGAGGGTATAAATAAAAAATACAAATATTTTTTAAAATTTAAGATTTCAACTAAATTATTTATAAACTACTAATTAGTTAACTATAACTTATAAGAAGAATTATATTAAAGTCCCATATAAAAAAATAATTATTATAAAATTTATTAATAATTGAACTAAATTATTTTGATAAAATAAATTTTATAATAATTATTTTTTTTATATGAGCTTGATTGTAATTCTCCCTGATTTATATTGTGCTCTCGACAGAGTATTTGAGAAAATACATTTTTATGAGTTCTGAATGAGATGATGAAGGATGATGAAGGATTGGTATTCGGGAAAATCTCAAATAAGGCCCCACAATGGTAAAAATCACTTGAGACTCAATGTATTTTGAATTATTTTTACATGCCCAAAAGCACTAAATGTAAATATGTTTTTTTTTAATAAAAAGATACATTTGCCTCAAATGCATAAGTTTTCAGGTATATGTATAATACAATATCTATAAAGAACATGATAAGGCTCATATGCAAACAATACAATATTTGTTTATTATACATACTTCATGTGGTTCTATTTATATGGTAGAGAGAAATTTTTTTAAAAATAAGACACCTCATTAAATTTTCATTATAAATTTTTTCATTCGACTTCCATTGAAAATACATTGTTAATATATAAACAAAGCTGAGAAATTATTAAATTTCTAAAAAAAATTAATAAATTTTAAATTTTTTTAGTTATGATAAAATATGTTGGGAGTGCCTTATAAATAAGATTAGAAAAATATTCTGTCTGTGTAAGTTGAACAATAATGTGTAAATTTTTCAAATGTATATACAATACAATGTCCGTAAAGAACATGATAAGATTTATATGTAAACAATACAATGCCGGTGTATTAATGTACAAATTTTTTAAGTATATATACAATACAATATTCATAAAGAACATAACAAAGTCCATATGTAAATAACATAATATTCATTTATTATTTGTAGTTTTGTGTGGATAATTAAGTTGAATAATAAGGTATAAATTTTTTAGATACTTATGTACGATACAATGTTCATGAAAAACATGACAGAATCCATATAAATACCATAATATCTATGTATTATATATAATTTGTATAGTCAAGGACAAATGCATCTTTTCATAAGCAAATATATTTGCCTTTGAATCAGTAGAAATAATTTAAAATATATTGCACATTGACGCTGTTTTCTTTTCGCTTCTTAGTTTTATGTTGTAAGTTACTGTTGATTCAGTAATGCTATCCAGTTTTAATTAAAAAAAAGTAATAATACAACACTTTCTTTGTCTTAAATTACAAGAAAAATTGAGATAAAATTAGTTATAACAATAAAATTTAACAATCACACTTTTAAAAATATAAAATTTTAAAAATATTATTAATTTAATATAACTTTAAATAAGATTTAACGTCTCAAAATATAAATATTTTAACAAAATAATATTTCATTAATAATATTTTTTTAATATTATCCTTCACATGTGCTCCCTCTACTTTTAAATATAGGAGAAACTATCATTTTTCTTTTTTTTTAATAAGTAAAACTATAAATTTCAAGAAACATTTATTATATTTTTTTAAAATTGTCCCCCACAAAGGTAATGCTTATTTTCACTGGATAAATTTATTTTATTAATTGCAGGGATAATTTAGTCTAATTTTTTTAATATCAAACATAATTATGATACTTAATTAATTTCTTAAATTATGAGAATTAGTTATTTTCTCTTATATTTATAAATAGAGGAAGTATTGTCTCTCTTTAATATTATTTTATAAATAAAGTATTAAATTAAGCATATTTTTAAAATTTTATATTTTTATTTTGAAATTAAAAAGTAAGATTGTAAAGTGTATTTAATAAACTTTATTGATATACTCCCTTTGGACTACAATACAAGGCATTTTTTAGAAACTTTACTTGATTCAAAATATAAGATATTATATAACTTTTATATTTATTTTTTCAACTATACCCTACTTTATTTATTACTTTTTTTAAAAAAAATCATGCAATGAAATTTTAATTATTATTATCGAAGCTCTTACATAGGATATTTAATGAGGATATAAATAAAAAAAATGTAAACACTTTTAAAAATTTAAAGTTTTAACTAACATTGTTTATAAATCATAAATTAATTAACTATAACTTATATTGTAGTCAGGAAGGAAGGAGTGTATAATTTTGTTTAAAAATATCTTATCAATTGAGAGGGGGTATTTTTTTTTATTAGTGATATTAAGTTTTCTCTCTAACCACCCCATGACAGGCTGTGTCTCGATTGGCTTATTTGGTTATTTAATTCCCACATGTGATTTCCTAGGCGAGATTATAGTTAATTAGTGCTAATAATACTCAGTAGGGTCATCGTTTTACATTTCATATTGAGAACCGATAAGCATTAAGCCTTTGTCATTACTTTTTTTTTTATAAAAAAAATGTAGTCATTAAATAAATGCAAGTGGCAGGAAAATGATTGAAAACTAGAGAATGTAATACTCCCTCCTGTATTTGTTATAAAGTAACTTATCCTTGACATAAGACACTTGACGTGCGGCACTTTATTAATTAATTGTATATATAAAAAATAAAATATAATATAAATTTAAAAATGTTTCATTTAAATAGAGCAAAATTAGAAGTTTATTATATTTATAGGTAAATAAGTTAATAATTTAAGTAACATTTATTAATTTTGATAAGGCGATTATAGATGCCTTACAATAAAAACTTGTGAGAGCAGTAAGTTGACAATTTCTAGAGGAGAGTGGAGGTGGATTAGCATTGTTCAAAAGATAAAAGCAATTGGAGTCTCTCTGGCGCATGAGTTATATTTCCAATAGGAACAAGTTAAAGCAAAAACAGATTAAATGATTATTTATTACCATATAATTATAGTCTGCATCAATATTTGGCAGAGTTCATATAATGTGATTATCACACAATTAAAATATGCATTAACAAAAACTTCACTCTTCCAGGCTTCTAAAAGGAACAACAAAAGCTTTATTAATTGGATCCATTTCGCGGGAAAGCGAAAACCAAGTGTAATGAATAGGGAGCGGGCGTCTCATAAGAAGGATTATTGATTGAAAGTCGATCCATCTTGTTTATATGGATTAATAAATAGTGACTTGAACCTTTACGTGCGTTTCCATCAATGGAGATTTGAATTTAAATTTAAATTTTTATTTAGACATACAAAAATTTATGACAAATTCATTTTTTATTATAATTTTTTTATAATTTTAAATTTTTAACATTTTAGTCATTTAAAATTTTAGTTACTTCAAACATTTTATTCTCCTTATATTTTTACTTTTGGCACCTCTATATCTGTCGGACATTTTCTTATCTCTTGTTTTTATCTTTAATTAATTAAAAAATAGAAATAAAATCATCACTCTTTATTTTCTATTTTCATTTTGAATTTCAACTTACGTCTCTTTTTCATTTGAATTTTTTATAATATCCAAACAATTTTTTTTAAATATATCAGTTTTAAATGTGAGATTTTAAATTTAAAATTCAAATCACCAATTCAAATACAACTTTTGAAAATGATACATTTGGCATCTTGTCATTAAAAAAGTTATTTTTTTACCATTTGTTGACTTAAAAATTGCAGAAAATAACTTCAAAAATTTAAAAAAAATCCAAAAATTACACACAAGTGCCTTGTAAGAAATTAATAGTAATTAAGTCTCTAAAGTTCTGAATAAATACTAGGATACTAATGTTATTTCTTACATAAGTAGAAGGTTAAAAATAGAATTTTGAGCAACCAATTTAACTAGTTATTGAATAACTAAGATCCCTTTTGATTTTTAAAAAGGAATGAAATGAAATGAGCTGAAAAAATAAAAGTAAAAATGAGATGATAAAAAAGAATAGTGAATTACATTCAAAAAGGAGAGGTGTAGTTTAGTTTATAGGGTTGGAAGTCATGATTCATAAAATTTTTGAAGGGTATGATGATTTTCACATTTGTAGTATATATTAATAAGTTTTATCATACTTATCATGAGGAGGAAGAGTGATTCAGTTTGTTTTTATGTTGATTTTTTTAATTCATTTCTTTCTATTTTTTTTAATAACCAAACGGACCTAACTAATCACAATTGTTAGCATTGGACAAAAATACCAATAAATAATTAAAAAATATTATATATATTTTTACAAATTTTCACACACGATATTAACTTTTGAGATTTACACATTCTCCATAAATTTACAATTAACTAATGCATACGATATTATGTTATTTATAAATGGGTTAATGAGTATTCTAGACTTTAAACTATTACAAGAATAACATCATAGATTCTGAGCTTTTAGAATGTGCAAATACTTTCATTAACTTCTAAAATTTAAGTTCCTGAAACCCTTCCATTAAGTCAGAAAAAAATGTTTGTTACTTTTTGTAGTTATGGGGCTCAATCACACATTTGATGTGACACTTCTCTTGACTCCTAAAAATAATAATCGTTTTCTTTAATTTAACGATGGGATTTTAGGCTCTCAAATTTTAGAAGTTGAGGGGAGTTTTTTGTAAATTTCAAGAGTTCA